GCAAAACCATATTTGCGCACACTCTTTTATCAACAAGCATCTGTTTCCAAGAGCCCCTCGCAAAACATGAGAAAAGACGGGACGAAGTGCACGCGCTCACGTCCTCGCGCGGGCATGCTGGAATCTTTTAACAACCGTGAGATCCGTACGATTCCGAAACACAGGAAAACATACGTTTGCAACATTTGTTGTTTTACACAAAGTCCTGCCCGAGCGCGGTTGCGAGCTCTTAAGCTATAGGTGCGTTGCCATGCTCATCCAATGCGACCAAAGGGGCCTCTCTCTTTCCCGCGTCGAAGTCATTCGAACGCCCTTGCGCGTGTGTTGGGTGAGGGGCGCGATCCCTGTCGAATGATATTATGCGGACCACTCGCGCCCGTCGGCCGCGCGCCTTTGTCGAAGTCCTTATGTCAACCATCGGCTACGCGGGGATACCATGTTGGTCATCGGCGTGAGCAGCATTGGCGCCAGCACTGCCCTTGCCTTTGTCACCGTCGTCACCAGCATCGCTTGTATCATCATTGTGTTTGCCGTCGTCGGCGTCGTCATGATACCGCGCCCGCCCGAGTCGACTCGCACGGAAGTGCCCGCGCTGCTTGCGAGACGTGGTGGGAAGTGCCCGGCAGACAGCGCCACCGCGGCCGCGTCCGCCGCGCTAGGCTCGCTGGCCGCTCTGCGCGCGAGCCTGCGCGCGCCAGCGCGGCAGGAATCCCATGCAACCGAGACAGGGCAAAATGCATGCGCGAGTCGTTGCGCGCGCATACCGGAATCTGTCCAAAACCGTAGGTATCGTAACGCGCAAGCGCAAGCAAAACACATGGCTGTGCAACGTCTGTGTTTTCTAGAAACGGTCTGCGCGAGCGCTCTTGCGAATCTTACACAACCATAGGTGTGTCGACATGTTCATCACTTTCGACCAAACGGACCCCTCGCGCAAATGTCGAAATCATTCGAAACACGTAGCGCAATGCAGCGCAGCGCAGAGCAATGCAACGCAACACGAAGCAATGCGTTGCAACGCAAAGCAACGCAAAGCAATGCGTCGACGCGGCTGCGCGCGGCGACGGCGCGGCGACGGGGCGGCGACTGTGACGGGGCGACGACGGTAACCACAATGTGGCGGACCCGACGTGCAGTCCCAGACGACGGGCTGCGACGGGGCGGCGACGCGGACGACATAGCAATCAGACCGCCAGACAGGCCCAGGCGACGGGCGGCGAGGAGGCGGCGACAGGGCGGCGGGCGGCGGCGAGGCGGCGACGGGGCGGCGACGGCGAGAACATAGCCGCTGGACAAACAGCCAGGCCCAATTCCTCTGAGAAGAAATATGAAGGCCTAATTAAGTGCAAGCGCTGTTTGGGCAATCTGCACACGCGTCGCCTGGCCTGGCCTGGCCTTCCGGGACACCACCTACATACGCATAGCTTCCCTCGATCTCGGCCAGTCCTGGGCCAGGGTCCTAGGATCGGCCAACGGGTGCTCGAGGAAATGAGGAAGATGAAAAGGAGGAGGAGGAGCAGGAGAAGGGAAGGAGGAGGAGGAGGAGGAGGAAGAAGAGGGGGAGGAGAGGGGGAAAATGATGATGATGATAATGATGATGATGATGATGATGATGATGATGATGATGATGATGATGATGATGATGATGATGATGATGATGATGATGATGATGATGATGATGCTGATGATGATGATGATGATGATGATGATGATCATGATGATGATGATGATGGTGACTGGTGCTGATGATGATGATGGATGATGTTGATGATGATGACGATGACGATGACGATGATGATGATGATGATGATGATGATGATGATGATGATGATGAGATGATGTGATGATGATGACGATGCTGATCATGATGATGTGATGATGATGATGATATGATGATGAGGAGGAGGAGGAGGGGTGAGGCGGATGAGGAGGATGAGGATGAGGATGAGGATGAGGGGAGGAGGTAGGAGGCGGTGGGGAGGAGGAGGAGCAGCAGCTGCAGCAGGACGCAGGAAAGGAGGAGGAGCAGGAGGAGCAGGAGGAGGAACAGAAAGGAGGAGGGAGGAGCAGGTGGAGGAGGAGGAGGAGGTGGAGGGAGATCTTCTCTGCCTCCTGGCGCGGGCTTTGCCACGCCGAGCCGCCGCGGTCAGGACGCGGCTGCGATCGCAGCTCGACCAACTCCAGGTCGGGCTGCTGCTGAAGAAGGCACCCCCGTCGAGGGAGACGATCCAGGATGGAGGATCGAGGAGAGGATGTCGTCGAAGGGGACGATCGAGAATGGTGGATCGAGGAGCGAGGAGGAGATGGTCATAGTGGAGGAGGAAGGGGAAGGGGAAGGGGGGGGAGGAGGAGGAGAGGAGGAGGAGGAGGAGGAGGAGGGGAGGAGGAGAAGAGGACGAGGACGAAGACGAGGACGAGGATGGAGGAGAGGAGAGGAATGAGGCGGAGCAGGAGGGGGGAGGAGGAAGAGGAGGAGGAGGAGGAGGAGGAGGAGGAGGAGGCTTCAGAGAGAGGAGCAAAAGAGCGAACAGCAGGTAGGAGGACGAGGAGCAGCAGCAGGAGCAGGGAGGAGAAAGAAGAGGAGGAGGAGGATGGAGGAGGAGGAGGAGGAGGAGGATACTGAGAAGGAAAGAGCATGAGGAGGAGGAGGAGGAGGCGATGAAACTAAACCCTCAACCTTGGTTTACGCCTCCTGAGGTCCTTCACGAGACGAGGAGGGGGAGGAGAGGAGGAGGAGGAGGACCAAGAGTAGGAGGAGGAGGAGTAGGAGGGGAGGAGGAGGAGGCGGAGGAGGAGGAGAAGGCGCAGGGAGTAGGAGGAGGAGGAGGAGGAGGAGGAGGAAGAGGAGGAGGAGGAGGAGGAGGTGGGGAGGAGGAGGAGGAGGAGGTGGAGGAGGAGGGGGAGGTGGAGGAGCAGGAGGAGGGGAGGAGGAGGAGGAGAGAAGGAGGTGGAGGTGGAGGAGGGGAGAGAGGGGGAGGGACGAGGAGGTGAGGAGGAAGGAGGCGGAGGGGAGGAGGAGGAAGGGAGGAGGAGGAGGATGAGGAGGAGGAGGGGGTGGAGGTGGTAGCAGGAGGAGGAGGAGGAGGAGAGGAGAAGGAGGAGCAGGAGGATGAGGAGGTTGAGGAGGAGGAGGAGGGGAGGAGGAGGTGGAGCAGGAGGAGGAGGAGGAGGAGGAGGAGGAGGAGGGGAGAGAAGGGAGGAGGCTGGGCGGGGGGGCGGCGGCGCCGCCGCCACCGGCCAGCGGCCTGGGAGCGCTTGGCCCCGCGCGCAGGCGGCGGGCGTCCGCGGCCGCGGCGGTGCGCTCCGAGCCCTGGGGGTCTTTTCGGACTCGGGACCATCCGGGCCTGCGCGCGGGAGGAGGAGGGGGAGGAGGACGAGAAGGACGAGGAGTAGGAGGAAGAGGAGGAGGAAGAGGAGGAGGAGGAAGGACGAAGGAGTAGTAGGAGGAGGAGGAGGAGGAGGAGGACGGAGGAGAGGAGAATGAGGATGAGGAGGAGAGGAGGAGGAGGAGGGGGAGGAGGAGGTGGAGGAGGAGGAGGATCCGGTGGAAGAAGGAGGAGGAGGAGGGATGAGGAGGAAGAGGAGGAGGAGGAGGAGGAGGAGGAGAAGGAGGAGGAGGACCAATGCACATTCAAGACGCATCAACGCTGTTACAATACATCATTTCGCTAAGTTCCCTCCTCACAGGTTCCTACAAGAATGCGTGTTCAATGCGGGAAGTGGCCCAGTAGAAGACAACCGTCTGAGAATCGCCAATCGCGCCAAAACGAAATTCCTTGAACTTCAACGCCGCGGGTCAACGTGAGAGTTGTGCCCTGACAGGCCTAAATCTTGCCACGGGTCCATTCAAGAGATTTCGGCACCCCGGATCACCGTGATGATGCGCCTTAGCAATCCTACATCGCGCCTGCACACCATTCCTGGGACTACATTGCGCCCATCATCGTGGCGATTGCGTTCTGACAATGCTAGATCGGCCACATTTCAAATCAACACATGTCTTCCAGCATCGACTTTGTTGCGAATGCTATTGTACGACGAATGTGCGCGACGCTGAGGCGAGGTCCACATGATTAAAGTACACGCCATGCATCCGTGACGTCACCGCAAACTTTAAAACGAATGTGCGTGGCGCTAGATCGAGAGCCACATGTTGAAAAGAAGGCGCCCTCCATCCGAGAAGCTGCTGCAGTTTCAAACTTCAGGAACCTGAATGGTAAGGACGTCTCAGGCGAAACGCCCAGCCCGTCCTACCAACTCGTTTCGGAGGTGCAACAGGGAGAAGTCATGTAAACGTACAAGAACGGAGGAGGGGGAGGAGGAGGAGGAGGAGAAGGAGGAGGAGGAGGAGGAGGAGGAGGAGGAGGAGGAGGGGGAGGAGGAGGAAGAGGATGGGGAAAAGCGGGAGGAGGAGGAGGAGCTGGAGAGTTGAAGGAGGAGGAGGAGGAGGAAGAAGAAGAAGAGTAGGAGGGACGACCGACGGGTAATGAAGAAGAGGATGAGGGAGGACAGCGCAGACCGATGCGCCCCCCACAACCGCCGAAGCGGGAGCGGAAGGTCCAGTTCAGACGAGCCTCGGGCACCGACACCAATGCATCGGGCCGAGGGCAAGGGAAAGCTTCCGAGACGGACCTTTGGAGACGGCCGCGGCTCGCACGGCTTTCCAGGGGGTGGCCAGAGGAGGCGGGGGCAGCAGTCGGTGCGATCGGAATGGGCAAGGAAAGACTGGGCACGGAGAGCAGGGGGGTGGCCGACGGCAGCTCTTACTCAACTCCCGGAGCGAGACCCAGACGCCCAACGCCGTGTTTTTTCGCAACGTCGACCCCCAGAGGTCTGGACCCCTTCCCCGGGACCGGTTTCCCATCCCGGGCCACTTTTCGGACAGTCCCTGAGCCTGGTAATGGGGCTCCCAGAGGCCGAAAGTAGCGAACAATTCCCGTCGCGATGGTTGCACAACGCGAGGGGGTCTGGGGAGGGGGCCTCTCCGCCGCGCCCTGTCCATGGCGGGCGCCGGGCGCCGCAGCGAGCGCCCCGGCTACGCCCGCCGCGGCGGCGCCGTGGCCGCCAGCGCCGCGGCGGCCGCCCTGCTGCTCGGATGGCCGCGCTGCTGGGCCGGCGCGAACGCGCGCGGGGCATTGCTGGGATCGCGTGCGGGTGCGGCGGCGCGGCGCGGAGAGCGCACGCGCGTGCAGGCCGGCGACGACGACAAGGACGACGAGAATGAGGACGAGGACGACAAAACGACGAGGACGAGGACGAGGACGCCGCTAACGACGACGAGGACGAGGAAGGGGACGAGGACGACGACGACGACGACGAGGACAAGGACGACGACGATGACGATGACGACGACTAGGGCGACGGCGACGACGACGACGACGAGGACGAGGACCAGGACGAGAACGACGAGGACAAGGACGACGACGACGACTAGGATGAGGACGACGAGGGCGACGACGAGGACGACGAGGACGACGACGACGACGGCGACGACGCGGACGACGAGGACGATCGATACGGACGACGAGGACCACGACGGTGACGAGAAGGAGGATGACAGCAAGGAGGAAGACGTCGACGAGGACGAGGACAACGATGAGGACACCGACGACGACGAGGAGGACGGCGGGGACGACGACGACGACGAGCAGAAGGACGACGACGAGGAAGATGACGACGACGACGATGCGGCCAACGACGGCGACGACGAGGACGGGGACGACGCCGAGGACATCGACGATGCGGACGTTCACTACGACGGCGACGAGGAGGTCGATGAAGGCGAGGAGGAAGACGACGAAAACGAGGACAATGAGGGCGACGACGACGAGAACGACGACGACGAGGACGACGACGACGACGACGACGAGGACGACAACGACGACGAGGACGACGAGAACGATGCGGACGACGACGAGGACGACGACAACTTCGGCGAGGACGGCGAGGTCGACGACCACGAGGACGACGGCGACGACGAGGCCGACGACGACGACGATGAGGACGACGCCGATGAGAACGACGACGACCAGAACGACGACGACGAGGACAAGGACGACGAGGCCGACGACCACAACGACGAGGACGACGAGGACGACGACCTCGAGGGCGACGAGGACGACAACGACGACGACGAGATCGACGACGAGGACACTGAGGGCGACGACGAGGAGGAGGACGACGACGGGGACGAGGACGACGACGACGAGGACGAGGACGACATGGAGGGAACGACGACTACGGCAACGACGAGGTTGACGTTGACGAGGCCACGATGAGGACCTGGACGAAGATGACGACGATGTGGATGAGGCCGGAGGACAATCGGGACGACGACGACGACGAGAACATCGAGGATTTGGACGACGTCGACGAGGACGACGACGACGACGACGAGGACGACGACGACAACGAGGTCAGCGAAGACGACGACGATGACGAGGACGACGACGACGAGAACGAGGACGAAGACGACGACGACAACGAGGACGACCAGGACGACTACGACGACAACAACGAGAAGGAAGACGACAACGACGACGACGTCGGCGAAGACGACGGCGTCGACGACGACGGCGACGACGACGACGGCGAGGACACCCACGTTCGCGACGAAAAGGGCGGACGACGACTCCGAGGACGACCATGCGGACGACGAGGACCACGACGGCGACAAGGAGGAGGACGACGGCGAGGAGGAAGACGATGACGAGGACGACGACGACAACGGCAGCGGCGCGCAGGCTGTCGGGCTGGTGTACTCTTCCCAGACGCCTTGGTCCGCCTGCCCCGCTGGACGGGCAGCCATGAGTATACACCCTGAGCCAGACCCCTGCGGGTCATGACAAAAATGATGACAGGAGGTTTGTCGTTAATTTCGGCCCATGGGGGACCTTACCAGGCCTCGGTACCGTCAACAAAGCTACTCAGGATGAAGACCCGGTCCCTGGGAATGGGTCGAGACTCCTGAGGGTCGACGTTACGGGAAAATATGACGTCGGGTGTCTGGGGAAAGCAGTGACGAAGCGTCCCGGTCTGCCATCACGGTCGGGAATTTTGGCTGACCGTGTCGCTCTGCCGGCTCTGGCCCATCACGCTTCGACGCGGCACGCTGTCCACGTCCCCATGTCCAAGCGTCAGCGTCTCAAAGTATTCCGAGCCTCCCGCCCCGCGGAGCGGAGCGACACGCTATCCACTCTGAGGGCATAGCGTGACGATGTGGCTGCCGCCGCCACACGCTAAGCAAAAATTCACGACCACAGTGGGCCCCGGAAACGGCAGGGCCGTTTGTGCCCATCCAACAGGTTGGTGTCGTTAGGTTTTAAGAACAGACCTCCCGGCCCGCCCGCCCTGCATACCGCGGCTGCCAGATTCCCAGGCTCCCGATAATCTCTGGTGGTCCCGCCCCCCCCCCGCCCTGCATACCGCGGCCGCCAGATCCCCAGGCTCCCGATAATCTCTGGTGGTCCCCCCCCCGCCCTGCATACCGCGGCCGCCAGATCCCCATGCTCCCGATAATCACTGGTGGTCCCGCCCCCCGCGCCGACTCGCCTGCTCTGCATACTGCAGCAGCCAGATCCCCAGCTCCCCTGACAATCCCTGAGGGTCCAGCCCCCCTCGCAGACTCGCCCACTCTGCATACCGTGGCCGCCAGATGCCCAAGTCCCACACAGAACAGAGCATGAAAACCACACCTCTGAACAGAACGTATCCGAGCGTAACATACCATATCATGACAGACCATATGACAGAGCAGTGCATACCATAGCACAGCATCGCAATACTTGTCACGAGACAACTAGAGTTATATAATAACATTTCAGCGACGCAAGCAATACGGGGTCGTTTGCGCCGACATTGGGGTGCAAGCTGCCCGCGTAAGGTCGCGCGTGAGCGCCCTCATCTCCACTGTGGCTTGCCGCGCTGGCGGCTTCCATAAGGCACCGCGTCAGGTCGCTACGTAGTCTCGCGTGAGACCCCTTTGCTGTCGTCGCTCAATTATGTTTGTGCTGTTTTTGTTTCCCAGGCCCCCCTTTCAGACGGCCTCCCCCGTCGCCAGTTGTGGCGGGCAGATGGACGACGGCTCCAGACTGGCATGACAGGTGCGGCCGCCAGGGCCATCCAAGGGAGTCCGGAAGAGCACTGCGAGCACACGCTTCGGACGTCCGTTGGGGCGGTTTCGCCGCCGGCGCCGGGCGCCCTCCACACCACTCGGTGGTTCACGGATGGGGTCCACACTATTCGGTGGGTCAAAGATGGGTAAGAGTGACCTTTCGCCGCAGTGACCTTCGGTGCGGCCCAACGGGGTCCCCCGATCGTGGAATGCGATGCGGTAGTAGCGTCTTGCGCGCTCGTGTTTGGTCCCCTCCGCGGTCCCCAAAACGCCGCGCACCAAAGGTCATTCTTACCCAGAGTCACTCTTGCGTGTACTCGGGGGATGGGGTCCTAATGACGAGGTGCCTCATACAATGTAGATCCACCCTTGGATCCCTTCCTATCCTCATGACACCATCCGTCAGGAGCTAGCTCATCCTTGAGGAACCGAACCACGCAGGGGTCCCGTTCGGCCCGATCGGCGCGATTCGAAGTCGGCTTTGGCCAGCCAGATCCGATTCGATCCAGGACGAAAATGCACAGGCAGAGTTAAACGTCAATCTCAGTGCACATCTAGGAAAATATTGGAAATTGAAGGGAAGAAGAAAAGCCAGAACATGTACCACATATGGGGACTCCTGGAATTTGTGTCTCCCTAGGCGCCTTCATCGATTCCGACCATCTGGCGATCCGATGCGGGCCTGATGCTTGCCTGGCGCTGCCGTGCATCCTGCCGTGGCCGAGCCCGTTCGACTCCGACTCCAGGTCGATGCAGACCGATCCGACGCACATTCCGATTCGATCCGTTTTCCCGATTCGATGTTGACTGGCCCTGCCCCTGAGCGGCGCCGTCAGATATGGCACTTTGAACAAAGTCGAAGCGGCCAGCTTGTCGCCACTCTGCTACCAGCCTGAAGCAGATCCCTATCCCCATGATTGGCGTCATCTGAATCTCGATGCCGATGTTTAGGTTCCCTTCACTTTCTGGCGTGCCTCCCTGAGACTGTCACCTTCTTTGGGCCCGTCAGTCTGAGGGATAGGGGCCAGCTCGAGGGCATCAGCTTGTCTCGATGCCGATCTTGAGGATTCCCTCGCTTCCTGGGGTGCCTCCCTCCGCTCCTCGTCGTCTCTGGGCCTGTCAGTCCTAGGGGCAGGGGTGGAGCTCGAGGCTGGCCGACTCCTGGCCCCATGGAGGCCAGCCTCGGGCCCCGGGGGCGCCGCCGGAGCGGCCCCGGGAGTGAAGAGTGGGCCCCCGGGGGTCGGAGCTCGGTGGCGCGTAGGAGTGCGGGAGGTTGATCTGGTCGGCTTCCTGCCCCGACACATCGATTAGCGAAGTGACCGTGTTCGGAGTTCGGTTGCGCGTAAGAGTGCCCGAGGTTGTCAGGCTCCTATATGCCGCCACGCTGGTTCCGGGCAGGCTGTGCTGTCCCGCGGAAGGGGACGAGGAGGGGAGAAGCAGGCAGACGACGACGAACGCCCAGGCGGGAGGCCAGGGCCGGCGGGGCGGGCGGGCAGGCACGCCCCGACACGTCGATTAGCGAATTGACCGTGTTCGGTTCGCGAGGGGGCGTCGCGGCCGTCATTTTTGCGGGTCCAGGCCCGTCGGTTTCGGTCTTAGCCATTTTCTTCAAAGGGCGGTTTACTAAAGGGAGGTTTGTCCACCTCCGAGAGTGACCTCTCGCCGGAGGGGTGCGGGCATGCTGTTCACCGAGCGCGTTCCGCTACTCGCAAAGTGCCGACTCGCAAACGTCCGAAAGATCACACGTCCGCTTCGATGTGACGTGTCGCAGATCCCCCGTGGCAGATCTGGGCCACTTGCGAGCAGTTGCTCTGCGAGTGGTGGAACGCGCTTGTGTACCCGTCGGATCCCCAGGCGGCTGAACGCGATGCGATAGTCACCACCAAATTCAGGTCAAATTTGGGTCTTCGGGTTGGGTTGGGGGGTCTGGTAGGTAGTCAGATAGCAGCTGCTTCCCTGCCCGGATTTGGTCCCTCCCGCGTTCCCCGAAGGTCGCGGTCCCCCAAAGGCCACGCTTGCCCAGGGCCACTCCTTGCGTGCAGCCGAGTTGTCGAGGGATCCGAAGGCCCACGCGCAGAGAATCGGTGGGGAGCGAGGGAGGCAGGGGAACAAACGATGACATAAACATAAAAACGCGGAGGTCGAGGGAGGCAGGGGAACAAACGATGACATAAACATAAAAACGCGGAGGTCCGCGCGGATTTCTCGGATCGGCGCTGGAGTTCCTCGGCGGCGCCTCCAGCGCCGCCCTTGGCGCGCTCCGCGCGCCAGGGAGGGGGCCTAACAGCTTCTCAGTAGGCGCGAGGGCTTTGAGAAGTCCCACCGCCTTCTGAGAAGACATCCTCCTTCTCACTTCCCCTCCTCGCTCGCCGCCGAACAAAGAAGGTCGGACTTCGATCCTCTCTGGGAGCCTGGTGCCGATCGAGCCTCGATGGACATCGGGAGAGAACTTTGATCGAACTGTCGATGTCTGCTCGAAAATGCAAGGTCGAACTTCGATCTTCGATCGAATGCTGGATGTCAAAGAGCGCCGCCGCCTCCCCCACCCCCTGCGTGCTTTTCGAAACAGGAAAGGCAAGGGGCGGTCGCTGCTCGAATTAGGAAAACTTGTCGGCATAATCATACGGTCGGCACGCACCGCTGGTTTTGGCCCACCACGCTTCGGCGTGACACGCTATCCACGTCCGAGTCCCCCAGCGCCAACGTCCCGAGCCTGGCCCCGCCTCCCGCGGAACGGGGCGACACGCCATCCGCTCGCAGGGCATCGCGGATCGCCGGGGCCGTCCCGGCGACACGCGAAGCAAACGTTCCCGACCGTAAGCTTCGCAGGTCCGCGCGGATTTCTTGGGTCCGCGCTGGGCCCCCTCAAGGCGGGGTCTCCAGCGCGGCCCACCGCGCACTCCGCCTGCCGGTGGAGGGGGGCCAGCGCCGATCCAGGAAGTCCGCGCGGACCCCCGGAAGTTGTCACGTTGGCGCAGAAGTTCTTCTTCTCTTGGCACAGCCACCGCCCAGGGGATCGATCTTTCGGGAAACTCGGCAGTCGGTAGAGATTGCTATATTCGGGCACTGCGAATCTGCCCAGATCCACCGCTTGCCGAGGCCCCCGAAGGTCGATCCAACAGGCTATGGTTATGGATCAATCTCAAAGGACGAAAAGCCACCCCGACCACGCTAGTTGGCGTCTACTCAACGGCCCTGGGCGTTTACTAAACAGCCCTGCCTTGTTTGATTCCTCCTTTGAGTGCGCTTGCTCAACGCCTTTTGCTGGTGAGGGTGGTTTCTCTGTCCTGAAAGCACCGCATCGCATCTTCTGGCTGGGCGCTAGCGGAGAGGCTCTGCGTGGACGTCCGAAGCGCGCGTATCCAGGTGCACCTTCGCCCTCCCGCCGTCGGGGAGAGGGCTGGGCTGCGGCCGCTGGACCTGGAGGACGTCAACTTGCCAGAGTTGGAGAGCTACGAGGGGCTCATCTCGAAGAAGGAAGCACTACGTCCCTTTGAACTCCAGAGGGGGAAGGGATACCAGACCGCTACCCTTCCCACGCTGCCACGGCTAGGTTCTCCCCCAAATCCAGGTCATCACGCCCCCTGGGAGAGGTTTTGGGAGTAGCGGCATCGGTACCTTTTCGTTTCCCCGGAGCTGTCTGGGGGATAGTTCTTCAGGGACCTCGGCGGGCGGTGGATATGACCATGGACATGGATATGGATTTGGATATACATGGATAGTATTTCTAAACTAGTACATACCTCAAGGCCTTACATCCGGTGCCGCCAACCCTGATGGGGCACGACGACGGCGACCGGCGGCGGCGACGATGACGACGCTGACGCTCTGGATCCCTTCTTGGGGGCTCTCTGGGGAGCCCCTTGGGCTCTGCTGGGGGGCCTCTTGTGGGGAGGTTCGCAGCACCCCGCAACAGCAGATAAGAGTGAGGAGTGAGGAGGGTGCCTCCGGGGGGGGTTTGGGAGGAGGGTTGGGTGGTGGTGGTCCCCTCGTCCACGGGGGGAGGCGGGGGGAGAGGTTCTGAGTTTCCCCTTTTCCACAGGGGCACCACACCCCTGTCCCCCGTGTCCACAGGGGGGACCGGAGGGGGAGGGGGTGGAGGGAGGAGGGGAACCATTGAGTTCTCCGTCCCCAGGCGGGGCCCCCGGTTGGCGTACTTTAAACCAGGCGAGCCTTCATAAACGCATACGAAACGTCACATCTGGGAAAACCCGTTTTGTTTAGGAAGGTCCGGTTGGTTCGGGAAGGCCCGGGCCTCATGCTGCGAAAGGCCCGTTTAGTTTGGGAAGGTCCGGTTGGCTTGGAAAGGCCCGGGCCTCATGTTGTGGAAGGCCCAGTTAGTTTGGGACGGTTGGGTTCGTTTGAGATCCTGCGGGCGTCTCATGTTGCGGAAGGCTCGGTCAGCTTAGGAAGGCCCGGTCCGCTTGGGAACCCCGGGGTTTTCGTGTTGAGGTGTGGAAGGCCCAAAGCCTGCCCGTTAGAGACACTGGGAGGCCAGATCGCCTGTTGGCCCCCCCCTCAGGTCAAGCGAGTTTAGGGATTTGGGCCCCCCCCCGGCGGCCTGGCCTCGGGTTGGGGTATCATCGGGATTTTCATCGCATCGTCGAGTTCATCGCGTCATCATGTGCATCTTTGTGGGCGCGCTGCATGCCCCGCTCCATCTGCGCAGCCGCGTGTGAACATATCCAGTATTATGTAGAGTAATCGTGGCCCCCCCCATCCAGATTGCACGGGGGGGGTCGGCTATGCGTTTGGACGGGCCCTATGCCGACGGTGGAGAAACGAGCCTCGTGCGCCCCATGCAGTCGCGGCGACATCCTGTCGCGGCACAGTCAGCGCCGTTCCTGTTGTAGGTGCCTTTGCCCCTGTCGGTCTCTTGCAGAAAGTTGCCTTGAGGATCGCGTTGCGCGCGTCCAGCCAATCTGCACATGCGCGCAGCTCGTTTGCAGAGCAAGCACTTTGGCTCAAACCGTTGACCCAAGTGTCTGCACCGCAGTTTCCGAGCGTTCGGCGCTCGACCAGCTCCAGTTCGCAGCGCCCGCTCTGCACCCAGGCATGTCTGCTTCGCAGGCGTCGCCGGCCGCAGTTGTCAAGTTCGTGCGGGAAAATTTGAGGAAGCACCCGAACGAGGGCGCCGCCATCATCATTGCCTGCCAGAGCGGCCAGTTCGCGCTCAAGGAAAAGGAGGTGTTACCGTATTTCCCCGACTACAAGACTGATCAGCGCTTCATTGCCTGCCAGAACGGCCAGTTCGCGCTCAAGGAAAAGGAGGTGTCACCGTATTTCCCCGACTACAAGACTGATCAGCGGTTTGGCGAGGAGGACAAGATGGCAGCGCTGGAAGAAAAGCCCCCAGTGATGACGCCCCAGATGTGGGAGAAAGCGAAGCAGACGGCTGGCAAGGCCGAGAAGGATAGAGATAATATCGTTGTTCACCGCGTATTCTACCACATGACGTTGCCCGGTTGCCTCACGGAGCTGTTCACGAGGGGCAAAGCGCTGTTCTTGGAAATGGTGAAGCACATGTGGAGCTTGTGCAAAGTCCAGCCCGCGAGCTCTTTCAAACGCGGCTTCAGCATCGATTGGCCGGAGAACTGCGTCTACAGCCTCGGCGACAAAGCGATGAAAGGCGGCCATGAGATGTACACGACCCTGACTCACAAGCAGTCCGAGATCGAGGTGGGTCAGCCTGGAACCTCTCTCCCCCCTCTTCCTCCTTCTCTACTTCCTCCTCCTTCTCGCCCCCGCCCACGAGAGGCGGGGCCTGTGTGCTCTGGCGTTCCCGCTGGGTGAAGCCCCCCGACACCATCAATCCCATTGTCTCCAAGACCATCATCGCGGACGGCTGGGACCAGCTCCAGGCGACGCTTACGACGAAGGACAATGACTTCCAGCAGGTCTGCTTCGATCTCATGAAGATCCAGATAGAGCAGTTATTGGTCAAGAACTGATGCAAAAAGGAGCCGTGGAAGGGGAAGCTCGCGGCAGCTGCGAAGGCGCGCGAAGGGCGCGACAAGGCGAAGTCCAAGGGTTCCGCCGACGCCGCCAGCAGCCAGGATACCCCCGCGAAGGGGAAGCGCGGTTTGAAGCGCATCCTCTCCGAGGCGTCGGTCCCAGACGGGCTCCGCTGAGCGGTCTCGCTCGGCCTTGCAGCGGCGCCCCGGCGGCCTCTGACTGCTGCTAAAGCCCCTCGCCGCTTCTGCAGCCGCAGGCCGCGCGCCTGCTCGAAGCAGCGGCCCCCGGCAACCCCCGCCAACATGCGCCGCGCCCGCGCGGCAGGAAGGGGCATCGCCTGGAAGCCCGCTCCAGGTCAGAAGAATCGCGTTTGGATCGGGGCTCGCCTTGAACCATTTTCCCCCTCAGCCCGCGTCCTCGAATGCACCCCCCTTCCGCGGCCACGGCGAACTGGCGTTCGCGTGGCTTTGCAGGTGCCCCTTGGCATACGAATGCTCCGTATTCTCGAGTTCCCATCGGGGCTCTCATGATGGCATGCGCGGGGTTTTCGCGTGTTTGCCTGAGTTGATTTCGCGTCGTCCTGTTCGCCCCTTTCGGGGTCCTCCCAGTGCCGCTATTGGATTCCATGGAGGTCGATCGAGTCAGCGCTCAATGGTCGAATTGGCCCCCTGCGGGGCTCTCCGAAGGCCCTTACCGGGCTTTCGGCGGGGCCCTTTCGGGCTCTTTCGGCCAGGGCGCCCGTTGTCGGCGCGCGCCCTGCCAGGGCCCTCTCGGGGTTGAACGCGCGCCGTCGCTCGGGGCCCTCTCGAGCCCCTCGCCGCGCTCTCTCGAGGGCCCCCCGAGGGCCGCCCCGCGAGGTCCCTCGGCGCACCCCCCGCAGGCAATTGGCGCGAATCTGCAGCCCTTGGGCCCCAGAGGGGACATGCGTGCCATTCAGCGGTTGCGTTTTTTGCGTGCACGTGTTGCGTTGTTTTGAAAAGGGGGCGGGGGGGGGGGGGGGGGGGTGGGGGGGGGGGGGGGGCATTGGGGGGGGGGCAGGGCGCTGGTGCGGACCCCCGGTGGAGCGCCCCAGGGCCGAATGGAGCATCCTGAGGACGCCTGTTAGCAGTCGGGAGCTCATTGGATTGTCTTCGGACGGTTTGAGAGCGCCCAGCGGCTGCTTAGCGGCGGCGCCCAGTTGTTCTGGAAGCACCCTTCGACGCTGGAGGGCCCGCCGAACGGCAAAATCCGGATATGAGTGCAATGCCTGTTTGCGCCACTTGTGGGCGGGCCTGGCAAGGCCCGCAGGGGGCGAGCCAGTTTGCGCGGTTGCCGTCGAACACGCCCTAGCGCGCCGCGGGCGCGGTCGGGGATTTGTTTGGCTCCTCTCGCATTCGGGGCCTGGCGGCGCGAATCGTTGGCTGCGAGCTGCGCAGTCCCGTGGCCGCGCCAGCACAGCGACGGTTGCCCGCCCAAGGAATCTTCAGCGTGACCGCCACCGTTCGCGCACAGATGTCGTTCCAGCTGCTGTTCCTCCCCGTCCTCTCCTCGTTCGCTTGCTTCCCTGCCGTTGCGGCTGATCTTGGCCCCCCGCGCCCCGACGTCCCCGCGCGCCTCGTAATGAACGCGTGTCCCTGAGAGTTCCCACGGGCATTCCTGGGGCATTTGGGTCGGCCTCTTGGGGCCCCCCAGGTGGTGGCCTGAGGTCCCGCGGTTGCCCGCCAGGGGAGATTCGCTGGCATTTTGGACGTTTTGGGGGCGATGTTTCGGGAGATGGCTGCCGCATCCCCCCTCTGCGGTGCCCTTTGAGGGTTTGGCATGCGGGGTCTGTGTGCGCCCTCTGGGGGGCGTCCTGGGGCGCACTGGGGTATTCCACGATTGCATTGGGGCCGTCGCAATAGCCACATTCGATCGCCTGAGGGTCATCCGGGGGGGGGGGGGGTCTTGGGCCGCGCTGGACCGTCGGGAGCCCGACGTGCAAAAACGCTGCTGCTGTTCGAGCAACTGGCGGAGCGAGACGTAGCGGGGGGGCCGACAGGGAGGGGGGGGGAGAGGAGGGGGGGCGGAAGGTGGAGGGGGTCAAGGACGCAGACGGTGAGAAGTAACATGATGAGTGCGATGGGAGGAGGGGGCGCGGGCTCCTATACGAGGAGGCAGAGGGTGATGACGGCAGCGAGAAAGAGATGGATGACGAGGGGACACAGAGGGCGACGAAGGTGGCGAGGAGAAGCAGCGCGAGGGGGCGGGTGCAGGGCGTCTGGGAAATTGGTTTTCGTTTTCGCGTCATCGGGAGGAAACGACGACGACGACGAGGATCAGGAGGGGGGGCGGGAAGGTGGGGGGGATGAAGAGTGGGAGGGGGATTGCGAGGGAGGGAAGGGGGGGGGGTCATCAAGGGCGGCCGCGAGGCATGTGAAGGTGCCTTGTTGGTTGGTTGGTTGGCCCCCCGCCAGGGATTTTGATGCCCCTGGGCGTGCGCGATGCGGGTTCAGAAGTTTGGTGGTTTCCCTGGCTGCCGGCAGCGCCG